GGGGTGGGCGGCCCGGGCTTCCATTTTGAGCTGCGGAGCGAGCGCTGAGCAGCTGCGGAGGGGCGCCGGACGCAGCCGGGGCGCGCTTCGCTGCCAGACAGCGATTACCCCTCCCTGCTGCCCGCTTCCGCAGGGCCCTTCGGTAGCGAGCTGGATACTTGATGTCTGCTATCCCTTATAAATACATCGTATATCATGTGTAGAGGTCATAGCGGCACCCAGTATTGGTGGTAAATAACCGCGTTTTGAAGTAAAATGCCTGAATGGACTCTGAGCTTACTTGAGCCCTTCTGGTGGGTTGTCGGTTCGAAGCCTTTTTCCTCCTGGGTAGGCTGGAGGTGGTAGTGGTGCTTGGCACGTAGGTGTCTAGTTGCTGAGCAACAGAAAAATGCTGAAATGATTTAGTTCTAAAGGATTCATTATAGCATTAAATATCACAAGTGGGAAGGTGGTGTGTTTTTATTACCTTTACAGACAAATCCTAACGAGGAGGAAGGGAAGAAATGACTGCATCTGCTCTTGTAATCTAATCGGCATAGTTGGCTGTGAGGAGGGCTTCTGAACAACTCCTTTTTCGTTTAATTCTTTCCCATCTAGCTAAACATCCGGAGATAAAAGCGTTGATGAAGCCAGACTACAACTTGATCTGGGTGGTTGTGCTGATGGTTCTTGCACAGTTGACTGCATTTTACCTAGTTAAAGACTTGGACTGGAAATGGGTAATCTTCTGGGCCTATGTTTTTGGAAGCTGTATCAGCCACTCCATGACTCTGGCGATTCATGAGATCTCTCACAATAGTGCCTTTGGCAACAGCAAAGCCATGTGGAACCGATGGTATGGAATATTTGCCAACCTCCCTCTTGGTCTCCCATACTCCATATCCTTCAAGAGATACCACATGGATCACCATCGTTACTTGGGTGGCGATGGAATTGATGTGGACATTCCAACCAACTTTGAAGGCTGGTTTTTCTGCACTCGTTTTAGGAAGTTCATATGGATTGTTCTTCAGCCTTTTTTCTATGCGATTAGACCTCTCTGCATCAATCCCAAACCCATTACTCGACTTGAAATAATCAATTTGTTGGCTCAGCTTTCCTTTGATGTCATGATATATTATTTATGGGGAGTTAAATCCATTTTTTACATGCTTGCTGGGTCAGTACTTGGCCTTGGGTTGCATCCAATTTCAGGACACTTCATAGCTGAACATTACATGTTTTTAAAAGGACATGAGACTTACTCCTACTATGGGCCGCTTAATTTGCTCACTTTTAATGTTGGCTATCACAATGAACATCATGACTTCCCCAATATTCCTGGGAAGAGCCTTCCACTGGTAAGTTTACTTCCAAGGTACTGCTTTTTCTTAAAATAAGCCCTACTTTAACTTTAAGATCAAGTACAACACTGATAGAGGAATGGAAGTTAGGAGCCTAAAAAAAAGAGAGAACAACTTTGAAGTCAAGTGATGAAGGGGGTAGTTACTACCATTTAGTGGTATCCTGAACAAGCTGCTCAGGCCTCTTCCATAAAAGGAGAGAGGAGGAAATACATGTTTTATGCTTTGCACTAACTTTAGTTTTCTGTAATTACAACCAGCCTTCTAATTTCTTCAGTTTGTGAGTACGCAGAAAGCCAGTTAAGAAGTTGCAGATATCTTCAGAGATTTGCTGTCTCTATCCTTGAAATCTTAAGGACAATATTGTAATGTGTGCTTATCCCCCAGTCTCTTCTATCACTGATATTCTCTGGTGGGGAAAAGAGACAGTTTGAGGTAATGTTAATGTTTGTTGTACTGCTGACAAATGTTTAATAGCTTTTGATTTTGGAGCAGCTCTGTGTGCTCTAGTGAGAACCTTTGAACCCTAAGTAATTGTCAGCTGTACACTGACAGAATTAAGGCTTCAAAGCATGAGTGGCGGATGTGAACTTTCTCTCATGTCAATCTTTGCTGGTCTCTTTCTAGCTTGATTCTCATTGTGTGTGTTTCCCAGTTGGAGCATGAGAACACAGGCTTCCAGGGTGACACGTAACACACATCTTTAGTGAAAAGACACCAAATTTGCAGTTTGACTAGCTGTAGTGTTGGTCTTGTGGCTTTGTTATTGCACTTAGTAAGACCTTGCAAGCTTGTGCCTTTGGTGGAGTCTAAACTTGATTAATTCTGCTTTAAGTAGTGGAACTGTAGATGAAATAACTACTCCAGCATTTATCCAGCATGACAGTTACATTCTGTAATTGGGTTTGTTGAGGCTTCGTTTTTGTGTGTTCAGTCTCTTTTTTTTTTAAGACAGAGGATTTATCTTATTTAGCAATTTCATCCTACAGATACAGTTAAAGTTGCTTGAACTCTTCTTTTTATACCCAGATCTCTGCTGGTGAACCAGCATTTCACTTGCAGCAGTACTTGAGTTGTAAATAGGAAATATTTTTTAAAGTATTTAATTGCAGAGGCAAATACTTAGCTCTGCTACAGGACTTTTAATCCACAGCTCTGATAAGAAAACAAAGCTTTCTTTTAGAACAGTGTAGTTAATTTGATTGGACTCTGCTATGCTGTGAGCTAAAGCTCACTGAAGTACTGAACACTTGATTCCAGATGGGGAAAGGGTGAGCTGAGATTTACTGTTGAATAAAAGTAAACTAGATTTAAACTAACACTGGCTAGATATGCACTATTCTGTAAGTGTGGTGATGGATCAAAATGATCTGCTCCAAACTAGGCATGCAAATATCTTGGGATTGTCTGTTGTTTATACAGATTAATTTTTTCTTTTATCTAGAGCTATGTAATTTAGTGAAAAATCAGTTTTGTTCTGTTCAGGTTTTTAAGGTTTTTAGTTGGTTTGCCTTAAATATCTGTAAGGATATCTAACTGAAACTCTAGCTCTCTTAGTTTAAAACAGTTACCTAGTCAGCATTTATATCTGAGAATAAAGTATTTGGAAGCAGTTTATATTAATTCTTTAATGCCTGCCCTCAGAAACAAGATGGTTTTTGCTCCGAGTGCTGAGGTTTGAAACTACATGTAAAAATAGCTGTTTTGAACATCTCTTCCTAGAACTTACAACATCCTTTTTAGTGAGACTCATATCTATGAGTCAGCACTGAACTGAGTCACCCACTTCCACAGGGAACCAGACTGCTTGCTTTTGTGTGAGCTACATAATTCTGTAGGTAGTGTGGTGCACAGGCTTCAGAGCGTTAGCAGAGTTTGTTCTGGTTAGCTTAAATATAGAAGTTTCTCATTAAGTTTAGTTAACAACTTTTTTTTTCCTTCAAGAAACTTTCACTGTGTGGCATGAGTAGCCTTTTCTGCAGAATGTGACATCTAAAATGCAATCTCTACTATGCTGCAGTAAGTTACAGGTTGAGGATTGTAAAGTTCTCATGGTTGGTGCCAATATAAATTGTAAATAAACCTTTAACCTCCTCTTTAGGTGAAGAAAATAGCAGCTGAATACTATGACAACCTGCCACAATATAACTCTTGGATAAAAGTACTGTATGACTTCGTGATGGACGACACAATCAGCCCATATTCACGCATGAAAAGGCAATTAAAGGGTGAAGTGAAGGAAGATTAAACTTCTGGCAACCAAAAAACTTTGAAATGTCTGCTTGCTTTAAAGTGGCTGGTATAAGGTCTCTTGCTAAAGATGTTCACCAGTGTCCTACATAAAGATTACAGCAACATAGCAATGCATCCTTAAGGATTTTGTAGCAGACTCCTACCAGCTATAACATTCCTTGCAGTCCTCAGATTCATGGATTTAATGTGTGTATGTTTGCCCAAGGATCAGTGTTATATGCATAATGCTAAATCACTTTGTTACAGAATTTACTTTGGCAGGTGTTAAATCTATATAAAATATATGTCTCTTAATATTTTAAAAGTTCTCAATGTAGCCCTCCTCACAGCCCACACTGTGCTGTTTAGATGACCATAGTGTTAAAATGCTGTACTTACCTGTTAATTCTAAACTAATGTGATTTGTCAGCTTAAACCTTCAGTTGAACCTGTTTTCAAATGTATGGGTGGAAGAACTAAATTTGCACAGAAATGTTTAAGTCTGCTTTGGTTTAAATGTGTAACGTGTCATTTGAAGCATTGCTTTAAAGTTCTAATTTTCCTACTGAAATTGCCTTTAAAGGAGCAATCCATCAGAAAGCAGTTGGCATGTTGGAGATGGCTTCTGTGACTTCCTTGTAAAAAGGCAGGGAATTGCCAACTCTGGGGGTCCCCACCTACTGCCTAAGCTGCTTGCGGCAGGATACTGCTCAAGCGGCTAGCGTTTGGAATCACATTGTGTAAGCCACTAGGTGACTTCATATTAACTGCTAGGTTTTGGTTTGTGTGGTTTGGTTTTTTAAAATCTTGTTACAGTTCAGTTTTCTGTGATCCACAAAGAAAAATTATTAGGCTTGTCCTAAAGTTTTACATTTGTGTACACAGAAGGGTATTGCTACATGATCTTGGTATTTTTTTTCCCCTAAACCTACAGTACCCTCCATAAACACTTGTCTGTCTTTTGTATTAAAATGTGGTGAGAGCACGTGTGGTGATAACCAAACTTCCTGCTTCAGAAGTTTTTAAATTGGGAACAGAGAATGGATAGGCTTGCTGAACCCTGAAGGATGAATCTCTACATACCTCAGCAGAGTGTATTGGTCTTCTAGCATCTAATGCATTGATGACGGCTTTAAGCTGTCATAGATGGCTACAACTCACCCTTAAATCTCAAATTGTGATCCTATGGTATGTTGTTCTGTTATCTGAAAGATGGAATCTGATGAAAGTGGAAGTCTCAGCTGCTGTGCACACTGGTCTACTGTAAGTAAACTAATTTTTAGATGTCTCCAGCCTCCTGCATTTTGTGGGGTTTAAGGGTTTGGTGGTGTGTTTTGTGGCGGGAAGAAGCCGAGCACCTGAGAAGAATGTGTTGGTACATCTTAACCCTCAATTGATTGCAGTTCTGTTTCGAATGTGTGTTTTGTTTTGGTTTTTTAAAGTGTGAGCCCTTACCTGTGGTTAAGTAATAGAAATGGTATGAAAGTGTACCAGCAACTTACGAAGTGACTTCATGATGCCACTAACATGCCAGCTAGCCAGCAAATTGCTCAGGGTATAGTGGGATGTCAAAATATACTTTATCCCGTATTTTTGCATGTCATTAAAAACCAGATATTAAAGTAATGTTGGGTGAATTTTTGACTGGTATCCTAATGCTGAAGGACTTAAACTTTAGTGAAATCTGGTATTTTTAAAGCAGATGCAAGACCTCTTCTATTGAGTGGTGGTATAGATGAACTGTAAAGAATTGCTGCCTTGCCAACTGACTGGCTGAAAGAATTGAATAGGCTTAAGTTGTGAAACAGTTTTTCTTTTTAAGGCACTTCTGCATCTGTTCCCAATTCAAGAAGTGAATGGTGGAATTAAATCTTTTCAGTGTTGGTTTACCATAGCTGAATGAAGGATGGAAAGTGTTGCCAAAAAGTTCTACAGCTAAAAGCTAAGGTTGAGAAATTGATTATTTTAAGTATTCATCTAGGATTAGTGAGAGCTCAGAGTTGAACTTTCATACTTGGGCTTAGTCACCTATTTCATACAATCACTGGTGCCTCTTACTGTCCTCCCAATGGGTAGTGCAAGTGTGAATTACTGCTTTTAAACAGGACTGAAGTTGCTGTCTTTCCTGTTTAAAACTGCTAATGTTGCTTTAAGGTGTCCTGACTATGATCTTCCCTTCCAACTCCAATTATAAATACCACATTCTCACTTTAAAAGCTGTAGAGTAGTGAAGAATTCTGAGGAAGATATCTATGCTTGCCATAATCTTTCTGAAAGAAAACACTGGAGAACACTTACTGGGCTTGGTTAATCAGAGCCAGAGAGACTTATGTTTGTATCTAAACCATGGTCTGATTCTTGCAAGCATTGGTAACTGCCATTCTTAGGTATACAATTTCCCTATAATACACAAGAGGCCTGGGCATTTAACTTCAGTGGTAGGGATTTTGCCAGAAACAGATCATCTGAAAGTTAACCTATATTGCAGCATAGTTTCATCCTAGAACACAGAAGCATTTCTGAATCACTGGTAAAGGGAATTAAGACCAGCTGGAGTAATTGACTTGTGTTTTATATATTCTAAATAACCAGTCTGAGTCTTACTTATAATGTGGCCTTTAGTCCAAAGGCATGGTGCAGAAACAGGAAATGTTAATTTTTTAGAATACATATGAACCATCTAGTTACTGCTTTTAAGGAGTTAAATAGTTCTCATTAATGCTATTAAAATAGATCTGGCAGAAACAGGTTAATATAACTTTTGAAATATTTTATCTCAAAGTTGGAGGGAGCTTTGGCTTACCAGTGAAGAAGGAATTAATCCTAAAAAGCATTAAGAACCCTGACAGTTAACCTCATTATCTTTTCTTAATAAATCTACTCAGATGGAATGAGTTAGTTGTCCTTTCTACGTGCTTGCTAGGGTTTGTTCCTTTTGTCAATTTGGCAAACCTCTCCTTTATGTGACATTAGCCAGGGGTTTAACTGTCAAAACACAGCTGACTTTGGGTTAGCTGTGTTAAACATGTCATCCAAGTATCTTAGCTGCAGTTAAATTGTGCAGAGCTCTGAATCCCCTTCAGGGCTTTCAGAAAAACTTAGAGGTTTCAGAATAAACTGCCTTGCATAGCTTTTAACATCCCTTCCCCCTCCCTAATTATTTGAGGCTGATTAAGTGGAGTAAGTAATGCATCCTGGAGTCTTATCATGCTAGGCATGAGTTTTCTCACAGGACAGGTGTGGGTATATTCTTCTTTCAAAACAACTCTTGGCTCTGACATTCTTGTGGTGGTGTTGAACCTGCCTGCTCCACAGCAGTAGCTGATTAACATGTGTTAAATGGATGCATCTTTCCAGCTCCATACTTCCCATGCTTTTACATCCAGGCCAAGACTTCCTCCCTGGAACCAGAGGTCAGTTGAAATGTACTGAAGGCTTTTTGTTCTGTTTGCAGAATTTCTCTGGTCAAGTCATTTAAATGTAGCCAGCAAGCCTAAAGTTTGCAGATGTTGAGAAATGGATCTGTTCTAGGTAAGCAGACACCATTAGGCAATGACCTTAGTGGTTTACCTCTGTCTCCTTGGCATTTATTCTTGTATCACATGAAATGACATGCCACAGCAGAACTTAAAGCTGTTCATTCCTTACTTAATGATGAGCTTCGCCAACCAGTAATCTGGTCTTACACTGTTATAGATTGCAGGCTGCCATACTTACCCTGTTGGACAAACAGGAGAAAAGTTGCTTGCAGTGATCTTGCATGACAAGTGGTCTAAAACACAGCTTTTGGAAAGTGTAGTCCTCTGTCATTTTAGTCTCAAAGCACTTAAGGCAAAGCAAGGTCTGCTGTTTTAACTTGCACACTGCAAAGCACAGGAGCTATTTCTGGGTTGGTGAAGGTTGTTCTGCAAGGTCCTAGGAAAACAATCTGACAAATAGGTGTGTCTAAATCATGTGGATAGGCCTTTAACACAGCAACCTGCAACTCTACATAGACAATTATCTCTCTATCAAATCTATTTCACAACCAAGCCTGCAGTGGTATACAAGCCTTTAGTGAGGACAAAAATATTGGAAAAGTTTCCTATTGAGCCAAGAATGAAGACAGTATTTTTTTTTCCCTGCTGACAGTTCCCTGCACTGCCTCTGCCCCCTATCCATGCTTAAGTTGGCATCCACTGTGCTCTGGGACAGAATTGTTACTGTGATTTAGGTATGTGGCTCACCTCAGGAAAAGGGAGATAAGAACAGTGTAATGAACAATTCCTTCATCTTGTCCCAGGAGAAACAAGATGACTATAGGGAAAATGTCCTCTATGCATGTCTGCTAGGAGCAGTAGCTGCATATGCAGAACAAAGTAGTGGTCTGTATTGCATAAAGGCTTGTTCCTTAAAGTGATTCCCATTTTCTGTGTACAAGTACAGAGGATCTTACATTTGATCTCTTATCAAGTTTTTTCAGTGATAAGCACTATAGGCTAAGCAGAATTTCCCACAAAAAAGGTAGCAGTGCGGGTGCAGCACTTTCTTGTGTGAGCAGTCAGTTCAGTTGCACACCCTTGGCTGCTCCCTGACAGAGTTGTAGTCCAGGCAATGTAAGCAAACAGGATATGGACATGTGACTAATCTGGCTTTTTCTGCCTTCCAGCTAAACTTCAGATTTTATTGTAAATTTAAACCCGATTTCCTTTTCCACTATCATCACATGTTAAGGGAAATCATCATTAGATCATTCTTTGTATATTAAGCATATGAGAAATCATTCATGTGGTTATTTTCAACTGTACAGTAGCTTGCTTGCCACATCTTTTTTCCAAAAAGAGCATGATGTATTCCTAAATTGTATTGCTGAAGTTGTATCACAGTTTTGGAGACTTTTAAAATCCTGATCAAATGTTCACATACAGTTTATTTGTTCTGAAACCAATGGATAGCATAGGCAGGTAAAAAACAGTGACAGCCTTTAGAATTATCAAATATAAAGGTAAAATGTCTGACAGTTTCAAAACTTATATTTGAGGTAGCATATACTGTTTTCATGAGGCTTCTACTTGATTCTCTTTTCCATTGGTCAGCTGTTAAAACACTCAAGTGACTTGTATGTTATTATAGTGAAAGGGTTCAGAGCTTACTTGGATACAGTTGTAGCTTCCTATAAAATAAAAGCCTTTTATTTACAGAAGGTGGTAAAAAAATCCAAAGTGTGAAGTTGTAGCTGTAGAGCTAAAACAGGAAAAAAGTTTATGTAACACAGGTGGTTCTTTTATAGGTCGGTGCCTGCTATCCAGTTATGATTTGACATTAGTCACTTAACTGATATGTACTAATTGCACTGCCTCACTGCAGTGAACATCCACAAGTGAAACTACTGAGATAAAATGGTGCTCTTTCATCTTCGATTTCTGGGAATCGGTAACTTCTACAGCTCCAAGCCTGACTTACATTTACAAACAGATCATCGTCTGCTTTATATGCAGGGACTTCATTTGTTAGTCAT